TAGTTAATGGCTAATTAGCCCGCGGACCAAGAGTGAAAGCAAATGAGAGAACGAGAGAGAGAGAGACGTATTCATCATCGGCAGTGAGCTAACTAAACAGAACATTAGAGCACTCAAATTAGGCGATCATTTGCCTACACTCTACTCGCGCGTTCTCGTTAGCTTCTGAGTTCCTCCTTCTTCGAAACTGTCAATCAGAGAAAGAGAGGTGAGCTAATTAAACACACAAAGAGGTGTGTGTGCTTCAGAGAGAAAGAAAGCGAGAGAGGAGTTTTAGAAGGGAAAGTGACTATGTGTGCATCTCAAGTCTCGGCCTGCCTAGATGAATGGACTGATGGACAGACACACAGACTGTGAAGAGGGGACTGACGCCCGGAGATGACAGTGGCTAGCAATTAGGAGTAAATCAAATTAAGGAGAGAGCAAATAGTCAAAGTACAAAGACAGCTGTCTTCTCTGAAAGAAAGCAGAACTGAACAGAGAAACAAAATCAGACGATCACTCACTCCCCAGCACTGCTGACCACTGTTTGCATCACCTCCATCACCTCCATCACCACCACCATCACCAACAGCCACCTCCATCTCATCTTGGACGACGGATTGTGACAGATGACTGCTGCTGCCAATGCTGTAGTGACCTGTCCTGTTGGCCAGAGCAGACTTCTGCTGTTTTGATGTTGGTGAGCGATTTTCTGCTAATTTCTAATTTCTAATACGCTCAAACACAGAAACAGAAACACAGAGACTGGGCCACTACTTTTGATTGCCGTTCAATTGGAGTCATCACTCATTTCACGGTGCGAGCTGCTGCTGCATCGAGCATCTTGGTGACCACTAAACGCACAGATGGCAAAGAACACCATAGCACATTTAGATGTGAGATGTGGCCCAATTAAGGCGAAAGGCTCCGAGTCTGAGTCTGTGTGTCTAAACGGGAAAGTGATCTAAAGGAGCGAAAGGTTGACGACAACGACGAAAGGTTCACAAATCACTCGATAAGATGCGGGCGCCGTTGCTGCACTTTTACCACACATTTATAAAGGTTAATCGACTGGCACATAGTTAGTCAAAAAGAAAGAGAGAAAAGCGACAGCAGGTCGATCATATTAGTTAGTTTGTCAAAAGTCCATATATAGAAGATGAAAAAGCTGAACATGAACACACAGATGTATGTACTACACCAAAGTAGAGTTACAAATAGGAGCAAAAAGAGAGGGGGGAAAAGAAAATCTGTAAACATAACTGCTCAGAAGAAGCTTAGCGTAGACCGAATTTGTTTTTCTTTGCTTGCACTTCGGCTTTTGCAGAAGCCAAAGCCGAGGTTTGCTCGTTTGTGGCATTTTTAAACTCGGACTGATTGATGGTAGTTCTGCACTTAGGCAGAAATATCTGTAAACAAGCGGAAAGTGGAATATAATGACAGCAAGGACAAAAGAGTGCAAAGCTGACATTGGTCACAAAATGACCGGACTTTGGCGGCGTTTCGAAAAGTGAACTTGTTCTTTGTGAGAATTTCGAAACGAAGAGTTTAAAATCAGGCGCAGCAATCCGCCGCCGCCATCTTACGACGCCACTTCAAAACGCCGCTCACTTTCGTCACCCCGCATAGCTCCTATGTCGATTTTCTCTTTCTTTCCACAGTTTTGTTTTTCATTCATTCAAGTGTAACTTGAATGAATGAAAACGAGCAAACGATTGAATGAATGAGAAGGAGAGAGGGAAAGAAAAATAAAGTTCCAAAAGACAAACAAACTTAGTTTGGCAGTCGATGCTCTAAGTGATAAGTGGGCGCGCTCGCGTGAAGTGGGCTTTAAAGGAAGCACAAGAAAGAAGTAGAAACGTGAAAGCACTTACCTTGAGGTGACAGAAGTGAAGTGCAGACGATATAAAAAGACGACAACGATGACGAAGAAGAAGACGAGGAGGTAACAGCGTAAATATCTTGATGGTAGTGAAAGTGGTCTTAACTGGTTGGTCAACGGGTTTGATGTACGCAAACAGAACGGAACAAAAGTCCACAATAGGCAAAAAAGAAATGATGCGGTGAGTAGATTCAGTGATGATCTTGATGACTAGGGAAGAAGAAACAATTTTCGGCGATGTTGATGGTCACAAAGCACGCAAAAGACCACGACTAGAAGGAATGACTAGAAAGAAGAAGACCTTCAGCTGCTGCTACTGCTTTGCCAAAGCCAAAGCGGCAGTAAATCACAGCGGCGGCGGCGGCGGCTGCAGCAGCAGAAGTGAATGGGAACCGAATTCCGAACTGAAAACTTGCGCAAAGCAGCTTCAGCAGCAGTAATGCCAGCAGTTAGTTAGTCGTGGGGTAGCAGGCTTTAGCTTTAGTCTTCTCGGCAGTTTTCAGTTCCAAAGAATCTCTGACGGCCTGTCGAGAAGCCACGAAGAAGAAGAAGAAGAAAAAGAGGGAATGGAACTGAATGATGAAGATAAAAAGAGAGAGGCAGAAGAGAGGACGGACAATGCTGCGTCGGCGGCGGCGGCGGCGGCTTTTTTGCTGCCGCCGTTTCGAGACTTTGCTTGCTTTCTTGCTTGCTTTCCAGGCAATTCGAAGGCGCCCGGGTAGACAGAGAGAGAAGAGGGACCATCGACCGGGAAGGAGAGATAGAGGATGCTTGGGTGGAAAGAGAGAAAGTTCTGCCAGTTCTGGCGCCCACTGAGACAGGCGTCATCGATTTCGGCGGATTCTGCTTCTGCTTCTGCTGCTGCCACTCTGTTTGGCGATGGGTAGTCTGTGCGTCAGAAGCAGCAGCAGCAGCCAAACAGAGCACCCCATCCTCGCGTGGAACGGCGGTGGTGGTGAGAAAGAGAGGAAAGAGTGGTGGCCAGAAGAATCCGAGCAGCAGCAGCTTTTGGAACGGCGCGCGGGATTCTCCACTCTTTCTCGCTTGGGCCGCTGCTGCTGCTGTTTGGTGCTATATAACTAGCGGGATCCTAGCGGCGGGCCGTCTGCACATTCGTAAACAAAGAGAGAAAGTGTGGCGCTGGTGCTGCTGTTGCTGATGCCGCATCGAGCTCTGTTCCATCAGAACTGAGCTATTCTATTTGCCGCCGCTGCCGCCGGTTCAGACAGTGCCGCAGTGTCTGTGATGATTCAAGATCGATTAGGAATAGGAGATGCAGTGAACGAGCGAATGAACGAACGAACGACGAGAGGCATCGTGCGGGATTCAAGCGGGAAGGAAAGAGCAGCGGGAAAAATGGAAATGGCTGACGCGCTGATGGCGCTATCTGGCCGCCGCCATCTTTGATAGACACAGTACTAGTGTGCTTTGCCTTTCGAATTTCGAAATGGTGCTTGGTTTTGACTATTTTTCTCCTTTTCTTTCCCATTTTTAGAACGTTGCGTAATTGGAAGTCAATTTTCGTCAAAGTGACTGATGCCGTCGTCGTCGTTGACCACAATCATCAATGGCTGTGCTAAAGTGTTTTTTCCTATTGTGTTGTCATTGGCCAATGGAGCAAAGCCAAAGAAGTGCTCTATGGCCCACAGAGTGAAAAGAAACAGAGAAAGAAGAAAAAGAAAAAGTCAAAATTGGAAGCCAAACTTATCCCCTTCTCTCTCTCTTTCTTTAACATGTGCCTCTTTTCCCCAACTTGAACTGGGAAAGCTTAAAAGCCCGCACTGCGGGAGCAGCAATGGAGCGAAAACGAGGAAGCGAAAGAGAGAAGAGAGAGAAATCGAAGGAGAACGTCAACTTTGTCGGCTAACGGTGGTGCTGGTGGCCACAGCGGTAATCGTCTTTGCGTACTTCTGGCGGCGAACAGGTTTTCCCTTGCCCTGAAGAGAGAGAGAGAGAGAGAGAGAGAGAGAGAGAGAGAGAGAGAGAGAGAGCACCACCGTTCTTCAGCATACGCCAGTGCACCGTCACCGGTTAANCCGTTCTTCAGCATACGCCAGTGCACCGTCACCGGTTAACCGGTCACTGCTGCTGCTATTTCTCATCTGGCGTCAGAAGAAGTAACTCAACTCAACAACAGCAGAACACCGACGAAAACAAGAGGAGAGCACCCAATGACCACCACCACCACCTCCCTGTCTGTCACCCACTTCGATCATCCACTGTTCTTCTAGTCAATAGACTCTAGCCAATAGCTAAGCTGACTAATTAAATGTATCAGCAAGCGTGCCTGCTCATTTTCACCGCCACCACCATCATCATCACCGCCATCAGCATCACAGATAGTTTTGCTCTCTGGAGCCACTAGAGCGATCATTCAGGCAAGAAATCACCACCACCATCACCACTGCTTTTGCTTCAACAAAGCGACACACATATCAGCAACAGTGATCCCAGCAGAGCAAAAGATCTCTTAGTCCCTCTCTCTTTCTCTCTCCCTAATCAATAACACAACAACACAAGCAAAGACGTCTGATGGCGTCAATGACCATCGAAGCATAACAGTTAGCAGCTACCATTAGCAAGTGATATTATACTCTGAGAGAGCTTTCTCCCAAAGCTGAAGCCAGTCAGTCACCGAATCGTCGTCGTCGTCGTCGTTTGCCTAATTGCCGATTGCCTCCTGACGATCACAAGCACACACTCACACTCACATTTGCACTCACCAGACGCTGAAAAAAGTAGGCAAAACTGGGCAATTTTTGCCCACTTCCAATTTTCCCCGTCTCACGACTTCTACCTCTTCTTCTTCTTCTTCTACTTTGTCTCCTTCGGTGTACTTTCCTCAAAGACTCCGTGCTCCCAAGCGAGTTTCCTCCTCATCGCTGTCGTTCTCCTCGTCATTTTTGTCTCTTTGTGTCTCACTGTCGTGTTTTGCAGCAGCAGCGGCGGCGGCGGCGGCGGCGGCGGCAATTGTATTTGGCGAGTTGTCGCCAGCCGACCAAGAAACACACAGCCACTGTCTCCTGCTGACAATTGACTTCAGCTTCACTCTTCATTTTGCCTTTCGACGCTACGCACTCTTCAACAGACGCAGACATCGAAACCACCAGCAAACTTCTTCACATCAGCGACCAAAATGATGGAAATTGAAACTCCAGTGTCCGCGGTGGGCGGACCTTTGCACAGTTCAAAAACAGCAAATGGCGGCCACACCTCTCGCAGCGCCCACGTCGTCGAGGAGATTCGCAAGCGTTTCTTCACCGAAGTGTACCCCAATAGCAAAGGTTTGAGAGCACTTTGGAGCTTTTTAGAACCTTTTTTTATAAACTAAACACCTAAACTTCTTTTCGCAGACCAGTACGATGAGGTGGACATTGAGCGGGTGCGCACCTCGGAGTGGTTCATCAAGCGGTACCTGCTCGCAGCGCGGCGCAATCCCGACGAGGCCCTGAACATGCTCAAGACGACACTTGCCTGGCGGAAGACAGTGCAGATTAGCAGCACACCCATCAACACCTTCCCGCGGGAGTTCTTCCAGGTGGGCGGCCTCTTTCAGGTAAGACCTAGATTTCTTTCTCCTTTTAATAAAAAGATGCACTCACCATTCTATTTTGCAGTACGAACCAGACCTCGATGGCAACCCCGTTATCTACATGCGCATCCGCATGCACCGCAAGATTCCCGAGCTGGCAGAGCCGATTCAGCAGTTCCTCTTCTACATCATCAACAAGGTCGACCTGGAGACGAACAGCCAGGGGGCGGTCATTCTCTTTGACTGCTCAGGGGCCGGCTATGCCAACATGGACCTCGACATGCTCAAAGTTCTGAGCGAAGTGGCCTTCAAGTACTTTCCATTCTGCATCAAGAAGGTCATCGTCTACGAGCTGAGCTGGATGCTGAACGCCTTCCGCCGCATCGCAATGACCATAATCCCTGGCGCCTTTGCCCGCATCGTCCACTTTGCCACCAAGGACGACATTACCAACTACATTGCGGCGGAGAATCTGCCCGACTTTATGGCAGGTGGGCGGTGTCGGCGGGACTACCGGGCAGTGCCGGAGGGCTGTCCCGACGTGGAGACGGTGGCGCTGGAGCGCGGCTTTCAGCTGGCTGATGTGGAGCGCATCAGGGGCATCTTTGCGCCGTACCTCGATGAGGCCATGGCGGCCATTGAGAAGCGGAGGGCAGAGGAGGAGGAGGAGGAGAAGGCGGCGAAAAGAAGGTCTGAAGAAGAGGATGTTGTGCCGGTGATCACCTCACCTGCTGATGAAGAGGATGAAGAAACTTCCAACAAAGATAACTCCTCGGGTCCAGTCGCCATTGTCCGCGCTCAGGGCGGCACTGCCTTTGAGGACTACGCCTCGCTGTACCCGCAAAACGTCATCACATTTAGGCGAACGCCACTCACAAACTCCAGTACAAGCAGTTGGAGTGAGGAGGATCGTCAAAACGACAACAGCAGAAACAGCACCGACCAATGTCCATTGGCCGGCACTGTTCTACTGCGCAACAACCACCGCAGCCAGGCACTGGCCTTCAAGGTGCAGTCTACCCGGGCCGAGGCCTACTCGGTGACGCCCGCCCAGGGGGTGATCCTTCCTGGCGCCTACCTCTGCATCAACATCGCCCTCAAAGAAGAGGAGGAGGAGAAGGAGGAGTGTGGAAGAAGCTCATCTGAAATGGTAGTTCTCCAGGACAAGTTCATGGTCCTCCTCTGTCCGGAGGTGAATCTGGCCACTGATCTGGTCAGCTGGCACCACTTTGGCCGCCTCTTTCTCGCCCAGGCCGACCACGTCTTTAGCCACAAGCTGACGACTAGGCTGGCGGTAGAAGATGCAACAGCTGCTAAAAGAGTGAGGAGTGAGGAAAAGAGTGCAGCTGCGGCTACTGCTGAAAGCTCTCAGACGATCGGCCGACTGGAGAGAGAAGTGGGCCGACTGCGGCAGCAGTGCCGTCGTCTGGAGGGCCGGCAGCGGTGGCTGAACCTGGTCTCGCTGCTGCTCGCCGTGCTCGCACTTGCGCTGGTCCTCTGGCCGCTGGCAGTGGAGAGGCCGCCCACGTGGACGCTGCTCGGCAGCCTCATCAGCTCGGTGGTGGCTGGAAATCAGCAGCAGACAATGCAAGGCGCATGCACAATGGCAGCTACGGCGGTAAAGTCAACATCACCACCGCCTCTCTGAGACCCCCTGAGTGCCTTTTATTTTTATTTTATTTGGTAATTGTTACACCTGTTGTTACACCACTTTGTGTTACACGTCAGTTGGAGTTTGTAAATAAGAGAGAATAAATAAGAGACAAGAGTGGAGAGTATAATAATAATAGTAGGTAGGGGTTGCCGAGAGCAGACGATTCCAAGGAGAGCTGACAGAGAGGAAAGGGAGGGGTGGCAGTGGGGGCTGAAGTGCAGGTGTTTAGAAGCACTTTCGGTGGACGATGGCTGGGCCGGCCTCGTCGTACTCC